GTAATTCAAAGTGTCACCAATCTTTAGATTGCACTAATAAGTAAGTACAATTTTATCATATGTTTTGCAAATTCATTTCCCTAATTGTAGTAATATTTTAAACCGTTTGATTTTTGTATTAAAGTTTTTTTAATTGATTGATGATTGATTCAATCAACTAATTTGTTGATTGTATTAACTTGATTCTTTAGATATTGAAAATTAAATAAATAACATTATGTTAATTTAAGCTTACAGAAACGTTGCTGTTGTTCCAGCAAAAATCTTATTTTCACTTTATCGAGTGCCTAGTAGGTAATTTGCAGATTACCTAGATAATCTGAACATTACCTAGGTAATTTGAAAAATGCAATAATTTTCGCAACTTTAACGGATCACCCTAGTTAATCTGCAGATTAGCTAAGTAATGCGCACATTAACGGATTTCAAGCTTTAGCGGTAACATATACAGTTATATACACATTGGCAGTTATATCCACTCTTGACAAGTTCATTGACTATTAATTACGTATTTTTTGTTTCCTCCGGTTTTTTACCGATCTGTAAAGTCTTATATGTCTTATATAATGTTTAATAACATAAATAAACTTACCGATTTTTTAATAGTTTCATCAACTTCGTTAATAAGTTTTTCTTGTATATCTGGATTGACTGCTAATTCATGAACAGAACACGAAATAGTTAATGTTGGAGCAAAGTATCCACCAACGAAAAACATAACGCATTGGCTCACCACATCATCCAAATCAAATTCTGTATAATATATATAAAAATTTTTAATTACGCACATAAAATTGTGATCTATATTCTACTCCAATAGATGGCCAGATGGCCAGACGATGAAGATGTCAGTATTCCGCTCTGGGATCGCATATATACATTACTTACATCGTTGCGGTATCCGGGACATCATTAGTTTATTTCTACAAACATGTCTTTCATGAATTATTACATCAACTGTCGCATAATTCAAAACTGGTTTCGTATGAGAAAACGTATTTCGTAAAGTCGGAATGGACGAATTTCCACACACGTACACGCACTCCTCACATACGTTTCTATATACATACCCGCGGAATTTTCCCCGTTTGTTTTTTCTTCAAGATTTGAAGATGTTCAGTATGACTTGGGAGGAACTGAAGCCCTCGCCCATGATCGAAATCCATGAAAGATAATTGCTGCCCGGTATGCTACCTAGGAGTATTGGAGGAACTACTATTACTACTGCTTTTTACTTATTTGTGTTCAGGGGATCTCACAACGTGGAGATTTGCAAAAAGAAAAAAAATATTATAATCGGAGAAGGAAATTTGATACTATTCCAATACTTTCTCCGTAAGGTGTAAAAATGAAAATTTTTTAAATGCAAATTAAAAAGTATTTGTTTTTCTATATTTTATCATCTTTAAATTTGTATTTAATAATTAAAATTTATATCTTTTTTCAAATTTCCCTAAACTTTAAATGATTCGCAATGAAGTATTTGTATCATTGAATAGTATGTACCGGTAGAACACAATGTTATAATGAAACTACGTTACAATTTATTTCAGGTTGTTCCTCAAAATATATAGAGGAAAATTGGAAATCTTGTGAAGACTTGTGTGTAAATGCGTGACTCTAAAACTTTTATGTACTGTACTTCTCGCTCAGTTATAAACTACATTGATGTAGTCAATACCTAATTTTGCCAATCTGAACCAACTATTAATTTTGGATTCATCTGACTATACAATCCTTTTCCAATCTTTTAAGGTGCAGTCTTTATAGCATTTAGCAAAATTAAGACGTTTCTGTTTGTAATTTGGTAAGTTTAGACTTCCTGTGCTTTCAAATTGTTACGTTTTAGGCATCTGCGGATAGTTGAAGTACTCACTTCTATTTCTAAGCCCCTTTTTACTTCTGATGATGTATCACAACATCCACTCGTTATCAAACGTTTCTGTTTTGGCCCTCAACGTTTTCTTCTGTTCAACTATTAAATTTTCGTGATATGGTAGCTCACTATTTTTTATTCTGGATACACTCAAACGACCAACACCAACTTCTAATGCTGTTTTCTCAACATAAAACTTTCTTCGGCAGGTCGACAATACGCAATTTCTTCTCAGTGGACAGCTTCTTCATTATGACGCATATCAAGCAGCAGTTCATTTGCATATTTATACTCTAATATTGCGATAATATGCACGAAATTACAGTCGATCCCCCTATAAGACGGTAGATACGTTCCGTTCTTTATGAATCCGATTTTGTAGGAATCACAGCCAATCACAGCCCGACACGTGTTAAGTTTACGGACTACGGCTGTTTGAAAGGTTTTCTTCCATAAAATTAATCGATTCTAGACTAATCCGACTCAACATTTCCAAAATACGTATATTTTTTTTGGAAATAATCCGTATAAACTACACTATAAACAAAAAATTGTAGGATTACTTACCGAGTGTGCATCATTCGACATCGCCGTTGCTCAAGCTTGTTTTCGTCGCGGAACAGCTCAGCTTAACGGCGGCCGCGATTTCTGATGTTATTTTTCTGCGAAAACTTCGCTGAACTTTGGAGACATCATTAATATAAATAATTTTAATGGCCGTTGAATAAGAAATGTTTCTTTCACAAGAAATGTATAAAATTACAGTACTGAACAGACGATAGGTCGCCTAACTCGCCGTAGCGTGACGCTAGACGGCGAAAAATATATATATAATTATAATAAAGTTACAATAAATTAAGTTAATATATAATTATATATACAGTACCTAATTTATATATAATTAATATATAATTACATGTACACTACCTAATTTATATATAATTATATGCACAGAGGAAACTAAACTCAATTTAGCCGCATAAACGTCTGTAGCGTGGCCTACGGACAGCGGGAAAGTAGTTCGGCTGCCCGATGACGTTTTACGTAATTATAGAAGTTTTTTTGCCGTTGTGTACGGATACCGCCACAGTTTTATCGCTGTCTTATAGGAATCGTAATTATAGGAACCAGTCTTATAGGGGGATCTACTGTACATTGTTTGGCGTTGATGTTATAACAAATTCTCTTATGCGTCAAAATTATTCCAATACAAGAAGCAGTATTTATATACAATAAATATTTTAAAAATATAAAAATGATTTTAATTTTTTGCTATTATGTGAATATTGTAATAATCTTACAGCTGATTTATTTCCTTTTCCTTTAAAATTTCGCATATCGAATAGTTTGTGCGATTTTTCTATAGTACGTACGAACTATCACTACTTTGAGAGGGATTTAACGCTTACTGTATATTCTATTATATGATTCTTAAAAAGCTTTAATAAAACAAGTAGTTTAATTTTTTGCTATTATGTGAATATTGCAATAATCTTACAGCTGATTTATTTCCTTTTCCTTTAAAATTTCGCATATCGAATAGTTTGTGCGATTTTTCTATAGTACGTAAGAACTATCACTACTTTGAGAGGGATTTAACGCTTACTGTATATTCTATTATATGATTCTTAAAAAGCTTTAATAAAACAAGTAGTCTACTTTATTGATATATTAATAAGATGAAATTANTAACTAAGGATTTTTTCGCCCTGCCAAGGTGTGGACCAGTTATCCGGAGTGCTAAGTTATCGAGGGACGAGTTTTCGAGGTTCTACTGTATATATATATATATATGCATATGTTGTTTTTACAAAAATGAATATATGAAAACATATAGCAATTTTAAAGTTTTAGCACTCATGATCGTTTTAACATACCTGCAAGTGCAAATCTCCAAGAAACTGGACCAAGACTTCTTCTTGCAGCCTTTACAAAAGGATTATTTGGATCTTTTCTTGAGTCGAGTTTAATCCCAAAAGCAGTCCTGGCAATAACATCTATTGTGAAAGTACTTGAAAATCTAAAAAGAAGTGAAGTAAAAGAACAACGTTGCATCGGATTTGTTATTTTATATAACTTAAGTTTTATTAAAAATAATACTTTAATAATAAACGTAATAAAATGAACATCTCGGAGTAAGTTTAACCTTTTGATTTGCTTATTTTATATAATGTAAAATGTATATTCAGTATATAGCATGTACAGTACAAACCATCCATTATAAATACTTAGTAATACATCATGAATACGATAAGTAATACGTGTGAGAACCTGGAAACGTAATACGAGAATCTTTCTTTTCATGTGGAGATTTATTTGGAATTTATTTTAATTATTTAACGATTTAGAAATTATTTTATTTAGAGAAAAAGCCGTTCATTTTTTTTTTACTTTCGAATTTGGTAAAAGAGGGATAGAACCCCGTTCAGTTTTATCCTGATAACTGACTTCACCATGGGAAATGATGTTATCTCACATGTTTATGATGCATCTTGTGGTACGACTCACCCCTCAGATCCTGTCACATGGTATGACATATTGACTCTTGATTGGAAGAGATTCGGGGCAGAACATCCCGTTCTGGGTCTCTCCTGTCAACAATCTTCTTGATTTTTTTCAAGATTTTTCTGTCCTTCTCCCCTTCCTCCAAAGTTTTACCTTGTGTGTATTTTCAAAGATTGAAAGTCCTCCCAAAGCTTTCGAATACGTTGACCAAACAGAGAATTAACGCATAGCGGTATTATGCACAACTTATTTTAAACTCTCTCTTAACGATCAGATAGAGGTGTAATTATTTAACTTATCGATATATATATATTTGTTTTTCTTTGTATTTAATTTTCTATTTATTTTAATTATTAAATCTTTTATTTTTGTTTCAATCAGGTTTCGAACTCTATTTATTTAACGCCGGTCACTCCATCGCCGACTCACGACTCTCGCCACTTGAAAGCAAGTTAAAAATAGATTTGAGCGCGAGTTAAGACGCGATCAAATCTATTTCTTAATTGGTCAGAGGCCTGACGTAGACGGAGATCTCATGATCTCTCGGTCTTCTTAAATATAACATTTATCACCAACCCTAGATAAGGTGAGTGGGCTCGCAGTCTCGATCTGACATCAGGTGTCAGGAGATAATTTCATTACTAGCTCCTCACAGTGAGTTCTCACATATGCATTCAATAACATTAATTATCGGTTGCACGAGCTTCCATTTAAACTATAGAATACCCATCGGTGAAGTTAATTTAACGTTGTCATTAAACTTCGGAATAAAAGATACCATGATAAGACCGGCAATGATGTACAGTGCTGACATGTGGGCAGTTATAAGAGCCCAGGAAAAGAAGATGGAGACAGCTGAGATAAGAATGCTGAAATGGATGTGTTATGTGACGAAGAAGGACGGAATAAGGATTTATTACATAAGAGCAACTGTCATGTTGGGTCCTATAAGGCCAAGACTCCACTAGCGTAAAAACGGGCGTAAAAACCTTGCCGTAAAAGTTTTAATCACGTGACCTATTTGCGTTTGCGTCTGGATTGCGGTGGAGGTCCGGCTCGCGAAGTTTTTACGGCGACGGTACTATCGAAGTTATAAAAACAATGATTATATTCTACGAGTTTTTTCTGTATTACAAATGTAGTAAAAATATCTTTACTTTCATATATTAACTTTTATTATCGTATTATTAATTAAGATAATACACAGCATTTATTAAGCTTAGCTTTTTTCATTATATACTCCTCTAAATTGAAGGATTTTCTTTGGCTGTCCGTATCGCGTGATTCAGGCATCCATTATTATAATCGGGATACTTCTTGTCGTAGACACGCGAATACTTTCGGATGTTTTCGATAAATCTTTCCAGATCTATTCTGGAGTAGCTACGAGAAAACGTACACAAAAGCTCGTTTTCCGCCATTTTCGCACCGTGTCACAATGACCTAGATTTCACTGACTTCTGATTGGTGGATGGTACCGTTTTACGGCCGTATTCGCATCCAAAGTTGAACACTGCTCAAATCGCTTTTACGCTGGTTTTACGACCTACTCAAGCGTAAAATATCAGGGTCACGTGATTAAAAGCTTTTACGGCGACGGATTTTCACACCGATTTTACGGTAATGGAGTCTCGGCCTAAGTAAGAATATGCAGGAAAGTAGATTAAGAGGGCTTGGACATGTGGACAGGAAAAGTGAGGGCTATGTTGAAAAAAGGATTAGAAATTGGTTTGGACTACGTTGGAAAGACTGAAGCTGAGATGGAAAGACAAGGTGGCAGAGGATTTGGAGGAAACGGGATGGCAGAAAGAGAATTCCCTGGATATAGAGAAGTGGAGAAGGCAAATTAAAGGTGTGAATGATAACCCATATAAGCAATAACTGCTTTGAATATAGTATCTTTCCTAACTCGTAGAAAATTGCTAAGCTGCTAACTATCCCCAAGCCTGGAAATATAGACGATGTAAGGCCCATCTCATTCTTACCGGTAATGGGAAAAATTTTGAAGAAACTATTAACTGAAAGGCTCAAGTAGCACCTTGAAGCCAACAATAAACTGACCAACAAGCAATTTGGATTTAGAAAACAAAAATCTACAACAGACGCAATAAAAATTCTTAAAGACAAGGTATATTCATACCTGGTAAACAATCACTACCTACTGAGCCTGAGTTCAGCAAGGTCTTTGACTCGGCTTGACGGCCACTTGTACTCCTCCAATTGCGCAACTTAGCAAGTCCAGCCAATATATACATTTAAAAAATTATTTATCTAACAGAAAGGTTCTCCAATCAGCCGTTCTCCAAAGGCTAACTCTCGTGCGAAGTTGGAGCTCAAGGGCAACGAGATTATAACATGGAAACTTGGGGGTCTAAGCATAAGCTTCATTCAACTCTAACAAGTCACAAGGTATAATATTCACCAGGCTGGACAAAAAGAGTCCCTACCATTAAAATGGGAAGAAATACAATTAAGATATTAAAGGCGCTCAAATTTCTTGGAGTTATTATCGACCATAGGCTTCTGTGGACAAATTACATTGAATATATATGTAACAATACTGGGAAAATATTCCAAAATTTAGCCCGCTTCGCTAAAAATAACTGGGGCTTGGATTCAGGTGTCATGGCCACCATATATGACATGGTCTACGTACCAATAATTATTTACGCCAGCAACACGTGGGCAGATGCAGTTAAAAATCACGCATATCAAGGAAATTGATCTCTTCCCAAAGGAGGGTGCTGCTGCATATCGCCAAACGCTACCGCAGTTGTCCACTTCCAGCCTGCAAATTATTACTAAGAAAGCCCCTATTAATATGCTCATAGAAAATCATGTAAAACTTTGGAAGATACTCAGGGCAAGCAACGTCGTCATCAGTAATGAAACACTCTGTGCCAACGACATAGATAAACCAATAGAATATAGGTCTACCATCAATCCTTATCGCCTCCCATCGGTCAGAATTAACTCTAGGGCTCACACGTAAATAAACATCTATACGGACGGATCTAAGCTAGGCTCGGGAGTCGGTTGCTGTTTTGTTGTTTACAACAACCACGCCGAAGTCCACAGCAGCAGATATAGGCTTCACACATACTGCACTGTTTTTCAAGCAGAGTTACTGGCCATACTCAAGGCATTACAATTGAGTAACAGCAAACTGAGCAATACCTAGTGCTCTTTCTATACTGATTGCGCGTCGGTATTACAATCCGGGCCACCACCTCATAGCAACTGATGTCATAAAAGAGATAATCACCTCTCCTAACTCTGTTTCCTTTAACTGGACAAAAGCTCACATTGGCACCAAATTAAACGTGAGGACCGACGAGCTAGCGAAATCTGCAGCACTGGACAACGACCTTTCTATTGATATTTCATATTAAAAACATGCTTAAACGGGATCTTATTAAAGAGTAACAACTCAAATGGAATGACAATCATAATCATCTGACTTACAAATTTATACCTGCAATAGAAGACTACATCAACAATAACTGGATTAACATAAACAGCTTTTAACTGGACATGATAGGTATCACTCTTAACTTAGCCATTTTAATTTACAATAAACGAACCACTGTTCCTTTTGTAACATCCCGGATAGTAACAAACATTATATCTTTCACTGCATTCGTTTAGAACTAGAAAGACATCAACTGAAAACTTCAGTGGAAGAAAATGGGGATACTTGGCATGATGCACATAAATACGTACTCAAAAAACAAAACACCAACTACTTCAAAGATTTGATCATGAAGTACTTCACGATCAGCACAGTTCCTTCCTTGAGCCAGCACTAGCTCCTCTTCAGTGACTTTCTCACTCATATTGCATGCTTACAGTAAACTGCAATTCTCATGTTCATATTTTATGTTCGTCTCACACTTATTCTGTAATATGAATTGAATACAGAAGAGCGTCGTTTATCCGAAAGAATTCCAGTCGGCAAAATTTAAATTTGCAGACTGGAATTGGCAAAATTTGGCGCTGCAATCTTTGGCTATATCTTGGGCTACTCCAATATTTTTTTGTTGATGTGTATGTTTTTGCAGGCAGCATTGACACTTTTGTGTGGTGTTTTTCTGAGGACTGTGTGTCGTGCTGAATCGAACGTTTTTGATAGTAGATTAACTTCTAAAGTGTAATTTTTTTGTTTTTATATATTTTTCAATATATTTATTTTGTTTGTAAAAATAAAAAAAATAATGTTTAACAATACAATAGCCACGATTATTATTTTAAAAAGTTTACATTAGGCTTAACATCGACGAAAATTCAACGCGAAGCGACACGCAACGAAGAAAAATTTCAACATGGGATAGGTTAATATATTTTTTCGTACATACAGTCGACCCCTCTATAACGCAGTAGATACGTTTCGCTTTATAAGAATTTTGCGTCGTAGGAATCCTTAAATACATGAGCCAATCATAGCACGAAACGTGCGCAATTTACGGACTATGGCTGTTTGAAAGGTTTTCTTCCATAAAATTAATCGATTCTAGACTAATTTCACTCAACATTTCTAAAACACGTATAATTTTTTGGGAATAATCCATATAAACTATGCTATAAACAAAAAATTGTAGGATTACTTACCGAGTGTGCACCGGTCGACGACGCCAGTGTTTAAGCTTGTTTTCTTCGCGGAGCAGCGCACCAAACAGCGGGCGCATTTTCTGATAAGTTATTTTTCTGCGAAAAATTCGCTGAACTTTGGAGACATGATTAATAGAAATAATTTTTATGACCGTCGAATAAGAAATGTTTTTTTTCACAAGAAATGTCTAAAATTACAGTACTGTATTAGACTTACAGTACCTAATTTAGGCCTATATACTGTAGAGACGATAGTAAACTCAACTTACCCGCCTAAACTCTCTGTAGCGTGTAAGTAGTTGAACTGCTCGTCCACTATTGGTCCAGATTCGACCAATCCTGTCGCGACACGAGTCGGCGATGATGTTTTCATCATTTTACGAGTCTCTTTTAGCGTCTTTATACGAATACGATCGCAATTTTTTCGCCGCGATATACGAATCCGCCTTATATGAACCCGCGTTATTAAGGTCTACTGTAATCTGTTATCCGAACAACCCCAGTCCCCAATTGATTCGGATAAACGATGCTCTACTGAATTAGTATCTGTCGTGCAACAAAACAAACAAACAATTTATGTTTTATCGGGCATTTTAATGTATGAATTTTATTGTCGCGCCTAAGTTTGTTCACTCTACTCACGAAATACTATATGCACCCTCTTGGCACAATGCTTATGGAAATGTTTATCAAACACCATGTATATAACCCTCTATTGTATCTTACCACCAGCTATGCTCAGCGGTTCTGGTATTGTATTATACAGACAGAATTAAAAAAAATCTCCAAATAAACGAAAGAGAAAGAGCAAAGACAAAAAGAAGATTGAACATCAGAATAACATACTTTCACTAGGTGGACAGCTATCAGCCATTTGCTGAAAAATCCTTACTGCTCAGTCGTCTTACTAAAAGCAACGATAAACAAGATGGAAAAGGGAAAAATTAATAGTCAAAGGCGTGGGATGGATTGGAGACTACACAAAAATATACAGCAGTAGACATGGTAAGATACTGTCTACAATACTTTAATATACGTACTGTACTTTATAATAAACAAGTAAAACGGCGAAGTCATTCATGGGTCAATACTATGTTTCGGAGAGTGCGAGCAATGCATGCGCAAATCTCGCACTCGCGCCTGTTTGTAGAAACAGTTTCAGCATTTTGTATTTTATTTTGACTCGATTCTGGGTCCCCTGACTACCTACAAGTCTGGTTTATTGTATGTGCGCATGATTTGGTCACCAAATACTATGCCAAATTGCAACTCCTGACGTGTACTCCTTCATACCTGTAAGGTGTACAGCCGTTAACAGCAGCGCGATTTTACAGACGAGATATAGTATCATCAAAAAATGGTTTATGATTTCGTTATATAGAGTAAGATTCATTAAACTCGATGACGTAACGTAGATAACAAAGTACAGTATTTTAAAATCAAAATCGATTCTTGAAATTTACAATCGCTATATAATGTTTAATATTTGATCATTCTAAAAAATATTCTGCCAATACTAGGTAAACATTATTTAAATAGTCAGAAATAATAAAGGTTGTCCATATCCGAATCAGAGTTGTCAGCCATCGATTTTCTTTGCTAATTTATGGAATAATTTTTAATTAACCAAAATCAGCGGTCAACTCAGCGGACAGTTTATCCCAAAGATTTTTTTTACATTTTCTGCCCTGTGGCATTAAAAGAAATTTTTTCTTTTTTTATCAAGGTCATCATGTCCCACAATATGGCGACAACGTAGCGAAGGACTGGACCATACATATGAAGGACAGATCACTCCTAACAGTTTCCTGGAGATTTATGCCTCGATTAGTTTCGTTGTCCGGTTCGGAGAGAGGAAAGGCTGACACTTTAAATTTTAATCCACCCGTCTATCTCAAAGACATTGTTGGGTATGTATTGTACATAGGGAATTCGATCCCGGTCCTTATTTCTAATCCCGGGATTTCGGGATTATACTTATTCGATCCCGGGATCCCGGGATTATTTCGGTATTGAGGGTTAATAAAAAATAAGAAAATCTTACAGAAATTAAAAATCAAAATTTAGACAAAAATCAACGTATTTTACGGTATACACCTAGTTAATTTAATCACTCTAATTAATCAGACTTACAGTCAGACTAACCAGACTTAAAATCACTGTCTTCATGTTAAATTTATTCTTTTTTAAGCATCACTGAGATCTCTTTAAACTCACATAAATTGAAAAAACTTTTATGTAACAAACTATGCAAATAAACGTTGAAAATTCACANCAAGCTAACGATCAAATCAAGGAGGAAACTTGGTCGATTTTTACAAATTTTTGAATGCAAAAGAATTCTAAACCGTTAATACTCAGCCGGCAAAAAATTCTGCTGGGTGAGACGCAACGAGACACGAGGGTGATCCGCATTCCCCCATGGCAGATCGCCCTCGTGTTGCATTGCGCTAATTATCAAGATTAACATTCAGCAAAAATAATGTTAAGCACGTCATATATTCAACGATTAATTAATATGGTGAACATTGAATATATCTTTTATACAGTAGATCTCCCCTATAAAACGGGTTCATATAATTCAGATTCGTATATAACGGCGAAAAAATTGTGACAGTATTTGTACAAACATACTAAAAAAACTCGTATAATTTGGTAAAACGTCATCGCTGACTCGTGTCGCAACAGGATTGGTCGAATCTAGACCAATAGCGGATATTGCACAAACCTTTGAGTTTAAAAGAGCAGCAGACCTAGTAAAAACCATTTATTATTTAACGGCCATAAAAATTATATTTATATTAATGATGTCTCCAAAGTTCAGCAAATTTTTCGCAGAAAAATAATTTATCAGGAAACATGCACCCCTCCGTTCGATGCGCCGCTCCGCGACGAAAACAAGCTTAAGCAATGGCGTCGTCGAACGGTGCACACTCGGTAAGTAATCTTACAATTTTTTGTTTATAGCATAGTTTATACGGATTATTCCCAAAAAATTATACGTGTTTTGGAAATGTTGAGTCGAATTAGTCTAGGAATCGATTAATTTTATGGAAGAAAACCTTTCAAACAGCCGTAGTCCGTAAATTGCATACATGCAGGGCTGTGATTGGCTCATGTATTTAAGGACTCATACAACATGAATTTCATAAAACACGGAACGTATCTACCGTGTTATAGGAGGTCTACTGTATATATATATATATATATGAAGTATGCAATGCCATTGGCACACATAACATTATGGCATTGCATGCTCCATACATGTTTATCATTAGTGTTGCCACCTTTTGAAAATCGCTGACCCGGACGACATGTCAGGTTTGTTCGAACACAAGTTCCTGACGCATGCGCAATGTCGTTTTACAATGCGAAGAATAACGTGCATTCCGGTCCTAAATTAGTTACAGTTAGGGACTAGGAGTAAGGTAAGTAACCTAAATTAAGAAAGAACGGGTACAGATAACTTAGCTCTATTTAAGACGTGTACGATCGTACAACCACAAGCAAAAAAAAAAAAAAAAAAGGAAAAGTCATTCTCACTAGTCTCAGTTTTCCAGAAGTGAAACTGGGTGACATCATACTTCTCAATTGTTTCCATCTTTCTCCAGTTTGCATGAATACTCCCCTATCCAAAATTCGATTTCCGAAACGAAAATTCTGAATTTTTGGTTATTTTATTGATTATTTTATCACATAATGTTTATTAAAACAAATATTTATTAGTGGTTTTATTTTTTTAATATTTACTCTCTGGGCCGAAAAATAATGAAAATCCTTCACAAAAACAGCCTTTATCAATTCTGGATCCGCTATCAATAATGTAGGATACGGTCCTTCGTAAATACTAATAAAATAAAAAAGTATAAACTTAATTTATATAATAAATAGAATACCATTCACATAAATAATGCCAATATTTATATTAACTTACAATAACTCAAGATATTCGGTATATGTATTTCACAACAAATGATATTAATTTATTTAATACCATTTAATTTGGTTTAAAAATCTTTAATGTTAGTATAAATAAATAATTTTGATATTTAATATTTTTAGATGAAGTTATTACACATCGAATTTTATGCAGCACAGATTAAGCAACAATTCTCATAGAACAAATCTTTCTCAATTCAGAATTCCGAACCAATTTTAAATAAGCTTCGTATAGTTTAAAAACGGAACTTTTGTATTATGATAAAATAGACGTATAAAAAACTATATATGTTTTTAAGTAGACAATACTAATACATTAATTTTTATTACTTTATCCATAAATGATAATTATAATACTATTTATCTTATCGATAATAATTTGGTTTGTTTTATAATGCAACACATACTCTTGCTTATACCTATTTATACAGATTTAAAATTAGTTCTTGTAAGCGTTTTGAATTAAGATAAAAAAAATATTTCTTCTGCCAATCAATAACAATTTGAGGGAAATAATGTAAGTATATTTCTGGTAAATTTAATTAGAAAACATATTTTAAAAGTAATTTTTTACCGTATTTANTCGCTATTAACCTACTTCACGTTGAATTTTAATCGATGTTAAGCCTAACAAAATTTTTTTAAAAATAATAATCGTCGTTATTGTATCGTTAAAAACTTATAAAACTTTTTAGCCTTGTCGTCCTCCATAGTTTAATTGCTATCGTCCACGTGACCTTTATGATGACATTGGTACACGGACTTCCTATTGTTCTAATTTTTGCTGTTCCGCTCTATGTGACGGAAAAATAAAAAATTTTCAACTTCTTATTCCGTGGGCTTCGACGGCAAAAGTGACGTCATTTTGCCGTTCCATCGTCCGTTACTGCTTGTGAAACCTGGTACTCATATGCGATAACGGACGAAAAAACCATCAATATCAGGCTTTATCAGGCAATATCAGACTATCGAGTTCTCCGTCAAATTCCAACCACTTCCAAAAGCTTTGCCAAGGAAAATGCTAACAGTTGCGTTCTCGAGCTGCTGAATAAAAGATGTTTAAAGAGACAATTTTTTTTATAATTTTAAAAGTTTATTTTCATCTTTTAATTAAAATTTTTTTTTAATATTTTAAAAAGTTGAACAAATAAATAACGATGATATATATAATAAAAACAATGAAAATTACAATAAAAACAATGAAAATTACAATAAATACAATTAAATTCAAATAAGTAAAAGAAAATTAAAACTGAACATGATTGTTTTGATAATTACTGTATAAAAATTTGTCTTTAACATTTTTTTTTGGAAATTTTAAAATAAAAAACAAAAAAACAACGAAGTATAAAAAATGAAAATTAATACAAATGCAATTAAATGCAAACAAAATTAAGGAAATCAAAATTTGAAATTTTTCTTTTTGTATTTATAAAAATTTTTTAAATTTTTTTTGTGCATTTTAAAATAATCTATATCTATATCTATATCTATGTCTATATCTTCTATATATCTATATTTATATCTATATATCTATATATATATATAAATGGACATGTATGTCCCTATATTTCACTTTTTCGCCAAAACTACACATCGCACGTGAATGGTGTTTGTTTGTGGTGGTAGCCCCAAGTCTCCATTCGTGCATAGGGGTGGTTGCGTCTAGATAGCTATAAGGGTGCGGGAGATATGAGGCTGAAAGTGGTTGAAAGTAGCTTTCTATTTCGAATGTTTTGTTCGAATTTGTTCGAATTAAATTCGAACATAAAATTCGAATATTGGTTCGATTATAGATCGATTGTAAACGTTACAGAAACGTTGAAAATAGTTCGTTTGACTAAACGTAAAAATTCTCTAATTAGTTTGTAAACGGGGGAACTAATTCTTGCATTCTGTGAAAACGGTAAGATTAGCTATAATGCAATTATCTTAATCTTCACTATCATTACTTTTTGCCCAGCGAAGCGGGTCCTTGCAGCTAGTGAACAAATAAAGAAAGAAAAATTAGAAAATAAACTCAATGCAAATCAGAAGAAATGCAAATAAAGTTAAGAAAATTAAAATTTGAAATTTTTCTTTTTGTATTTATAAAGATGTTTCTTGAAAATTTTTGTACATTTTAAAATATAACTTTCTTCTTAAATCTGTAAAAATAAAAATGAAAATAATCAATAAATTTATCTAAAATATTCAAATTATTTAATAATTTTTAAATCAGTAAGTTTATTTTCTTTCCCAAAAACAATTATTTACAAATCAAACGAAAATTATTTGGCGCATAATTATTAATTTGCTACTGTTGTGTCATTTATTATGTTTCAAATATATTATTATTAATTTGGTTACTTTACAATCTTCGTGTACTCATATGCACATAAACGTGCTAAATATTTCAATTTCTAGTCCCATTTACCCTCTTGCTTTCCCTGTGTTACGAGACTAGTACGTACATTTCCAGAATATATTCTTTTCGATACTTGGACAAGAATATAAATATATAAATAATCCTAATGCCCTAAAAGCCTACCCTAGTCTGTCTATATGTAAAATTTCAATATTATAAAGAACATGATGTATCTCCAAGTTAATACACGTTTCCTGTTCTCTTGTTACCTGGCTATTGTGTGTTTGTGGTATATTCGGAATAGAAATAGTGCTTTCATTTTATAAGTTGAGAGTAGAGAATCTTGTAAGTGTTAAGTGTAAAATACAAAAATATTCTGATTAAACACTTACCCGAGACGAATTCGGATCAAATCAAGCAGATGGATACTTGATGCAGTGATGGAGGAAGAGATCCTTATTCAAACTGAACGTAATCAGTTTCTCCGTTCTTCATGTTTCTCCATACTTTCTGTGCTGATCTGAATGTGAAAAAAACAAATATAATTATTTATTGATAACTTCTATCTGAATTAAAATTTTATCAAAACATATTAAGAGCGCAATATCGAGGTTCTGCTGTATTTGTCTTGATTGATTGCAAATATTACATTATATCAATTTGAGAATCAAAAAATGTTATATTTATTCATTTTTGAATGATATTTTTCAGCTATATTTTAAATTTAATTTTACTATTTTAAAAGCTTTATAATTATTGGGCTGCAATTTGAAAAAATGTACTATAAATTTCCACTACTAAATATTGCAGCCCGACAATAAATAATTGCTCGTTATTATTATTTTCATTTGTAGCTTATCTTTTCATTGGATTAGAAATGAAACTAGTTCGGTTAATCTCGATGTAGCTCCAAAAATATAGGAAAGTTATGGCATTCTCATAAAACTTACGAAGTTTTCAAGCTCAAATCTCTGCGTACATCTTAATACTGTGTATAATTGTTGCTGTTTGAGGTACTTTGGTTTAGTATCACACTGGATTTAGTGAGAATTATAATGGCGAACGAATGTCTAAATCGAACTTTGTTTGTACTGACATATACAGAATCTTACCTCTTGACTGCCTTCCAAACTGCCTTGAAGAAAGATCCGGCTTTTTTGCACAACCGATAGTATATCCAATGGTATAACCTATAGTATACCCAATGCTGTTCTGATTTTCTGTGCAATCCTCGTGCTTCTTGTTGTTATTGTTTTCGATGTTTGTTGGAAGACCCATAATATCATTATTTAATTCATTGTCTTCCTCATCTTCAACTAATCGCTCACTAAATGTGGGAAGAAAGAATTTACAATGCAGTAAATGTTTACAATTAAAAATTTACAATGCGATAAAACTTATAGAGAAATTATAATACATTACTTGGGAAACATTATATTTAATATTTCCCAATATTTTCCATGAATAAACAAATTATCGCTTAGACGTCTGTTAAGTTATGGCAACGCAACACTTGGGCAATCTGCCTAAGAGGATGTCTTCTGATTCACGATTAAAGTTCCGATGCCTTCCGATCCCTTAGTGATCTACGTTATTAAAGTTATTGCTATTTTGTGGACGTTTAGAGCCTCCCCTATTCAAATTCATAGTTATGTACAGAACTCGTTACCGTAATTCTTATCTTTGAGATTTTTCGGTTTAATGCCGATCTCAGAGGTGGACAGGGGCGCTCTATCGAACATTGAATATATATAGAGGATGTACTGTACGTGTCGCTTAACGATGTACTCAATAACATCACGACAGAGGTCCATAGTTTTTAATGGAGCCGAAGAATGCGTAGCCACCTGTACCTTTTCTACGTGTACTATGTTTCTTTTTTCTCATTATAACAAGTCCAAAGTTGACGTCCACTTTGGACTTGTTATAATGACACAAGAATGTCCAAAGTGGACAAAAGTATAATATAATAATTAAGGACAAGAAGCACATATTAACATGATATAACTGTATTTCATATAAACAGTAATATAACTTACCTGTTAAAGCGATCGCACGAAATCTCGTAAAATGGCCGAATCTTCTTCAAAGCCTGTTCATAAGCAGGATTAATATGATTTTCCATAAGAGATTTTTTAAATCCACTTCGTGCGGGTTCATCCTGCTCCAAGAGGCATTTTTTCTTGCCGCGATATTTAAAATGATCCGAATTGTGTGGATCCACGAATCCCGCACATCCATCCAATCTCGCCCTGAAAATGGAAAGAGAAAATTCACATAACACAACAAATGTTAAATTCCGAAACATTTCTTCTAATTTTAAAATCGAATATACAAAAATTTGCCAATGAATGCTTATATAAATTTTTAGAGAAATTATTACACTCTAAAGAAACTTTTCATTTAATTTACCAAAATTTCCTATCAAACTGTAAGCTAAACAAAGCATCGCTTAACTAAGTGGATTGTTTTACTATTTATAAAGTAAAGAATATCTTAAACTATTTTTATGTATGTTTCTTCACAAAACTATATTCATACAATCGAATATTTTGTACCAGGTATGTATAATTGTATATCGATTGCACATTTTATTTTAACAAGTAAGTTTTTATAATTTTATTTTTAATTTTAGCCCTTATATTAAGGCTAGCGATTTAGAATGTAATTGCGATATTGAAAATTTATTTTAAAAAAGTTTGGGATTAAGACCATATAATGAAAAAGAAAACATTATTAAAAGAGAAAGAGCAATGCCTAAATTAAATATAAATACGTCGACAAAAGAATTTATTCGACATTTTCACGATAAAATTTATGAAGACTTAAAATGGCTCTGTGGATGCATAAAAATGCAAAAATTGTTTTGTTGACTTGCCTACTATTTTCAAATGAAATTATTATGTAGAATAAGAATGGCTTTGACAATTTAGCTGGCAAAAGACGCGAAAAATCGTCGATTCTTTCGTATTTGAAGCAATTTGGAAATCAAAATAGAATAGAATTTAACATTAGTACACAATATAAAATAAATATTGAAAATTATAACAAGATAGTTACCGCTAATAGATATATTATGTTTAAATTAGTAGGTGTTATCGAAGCGAGAATTGGCATTTAGAGGGCGTAGAGAATCTATTAAATCTAATATAACAGTATTTACATTGAACTTGCTTATTTATTAAGTGCGTTAGATAATCTGTTAATTAAAATACATAGAGAAGTCTACGGTTTTTACTGGCTTATCGAACAAACGAATACGAATGGACCCTAGACCAGTGTTTCTCAACGGGGACGATATCTGGGCGTTTTTCCATGTTGAGGGGACGATTAGTAACAATTTATATTTTGGGGGGGCAAAAAACAATTATCTGGGCGATATAGTAAAACATTATTTTAAGAATAATTAGATATTTTATTCGTTATATCGTACAATAATTTAAACAAATAACATTACACTAGTCACTAGTCTATTCAATGCAGTACGAATTTGAATTATGGCCGTTCCATCAAATTTTCCTAACCTTCAAAATGTGTTCTATGGCGTAGCCATAGAAACGGTCATTGACTTTACTCTTATGAAGTAGCTGGAAACTTGGGTGAGTAGCGNAAAATATCATTCCATTTGAATGCTAAGAAAAAAGAGTATATGCTATTTTTACATAGTAATAATAATCTAATACCAAAATTTTATTAATTAAACAATTATTCCAATTGGAAACACATCCGTTCTAACAGTTTATTTTTATAGGATAATAAAGGTAGTCTATTGCCTACTATCTGAGCTGTCAGTTATCCAGTAAAATAGACTGTTTGAACAGAATTTTATTAATAATTTAGAGTTCAACATTTACAGATATAGCTAAGGAATAAGAAAACAGAACATGAAAAATAATACTAATTTAATGTACTAATTAATTCGAAATAACTTAATTTTTTATGATGCCATAAAAAAAGTTAAGCTTTCATGAAAATGGTTTATTCTGCATTTTGCAAGTTTCTCCTTAGAGAAATTCTTTTCTGTACCTTCAAAATGTAGAAAATAGCTCTTAGCATATAAATATTTAAATGATTTATACATTCTCTACAGTCGACTCTGAAAAATAATCTAATAATCTCAGGGACATAATAAAATAAAAAATAAATAGAAAAATAATATTGCCATTTTTTAAATTACGAAAAGTTATCCTTACATTATTTATAACTTTACTTGGTTTGTAAAATTAAGGAAATCATTTTATACAGCAAAAAGTAAAATCCTCCGACTTACAAATAAATTTATTTTTAGTCATTTACACCGTATATAAATATAATACATATTATATTATATAAGTGTGATAATATCTTGAGAGATTCAATTGATTAGTTACGCTAATTTTTTGCTTTAAATAGAAAGTAAATTATATATAAAATAAAATGTGAAAAATTAAACGTAAAAGATCAATCAGTAAAACTTTTCATTAATCAGCTGCATTAGTGACGAAAAGATATAAATTACAATAATGAGTGAAAACAAAATTTTGATACTGTCACTTGATATTATTATTTTTTTTTTTTACTTTTCATTGATTAAAAATTCATTTAAAAATTAATTTATTCATGAGACAAGAATGTAATGTAAGATATTGACCTCATCTTTCATATGATTATCAAAATCATATAATTACGCATGGAAAAATAGCCAACGGGGTAATAAAAAAAGGCAGAATTTGTGCAAAAACGTGAAATTTAAACATATTAGGAAAATATAGAAAAAATTGAACTCAAAATTAACAAGTCATGTCATTGTGTGTACATTTTTCCACTAAAGCAACTATCGAAAGAACAGAACGAAAGCACATTATAATGCAGAAAACAAACCGAATTGTATCATATATACTTTTTAAAATAAAACTATATTTTTTTATTGCTATCAGGAAATATTTTTCAAATTTGTCTTGTCATATTATGGAGATTAGCTTCTACATATCCATGAGATTGAAGATGGACTGATGCAAAATGAAATAATTCTGAGAACTAACAGAATGATTTAAAAGATTGTTTTTGTTTAAGTAATGTATGCAACATAATAAAAAAAAATTTTTTTTTGAAAGTGCTTTTCTGCATCATGAAAAGTATGGTTTTTATTCTAAATTTGTTCGAAATGATCAAAATAATAAACTGAAAATATTTCAAAACTAAATAAACTATCAGTAATTACTTTATTTTGATTTATTTTTGTTTCGCGAATTTTAAAATTTTTAATAGAACATAAACAAGATGAAAATACTTAGAAAGATATATACTAGTTCCAAATATTGATACAAAGCATCAACGTATCTTCCAGAAATTTAAGAAGCGTTAGAAATGGTATTTGCCAGAATGTCAAATATTTAAACTAATTGTGAAAAATACCTCCAAGGAAATGTATTTAATTATGCAAAATGTTTATCTAACAACTCAAAAAGTAAAAGTTTTTTTTTTAATAAAAAACAAAAAAATATGTTAATTGTATTAAAAGTATTGGTAAACATTTATTTATAAAATAAGCAATATGATGTATATTATTTTATCATCATTATTATTTCATTGAAATTATTTTAAAATATTTTTACATTACTCTTTTTTGACTTATTTTTTATGCTGAATGAAATTTCATATATGAAAACATAATAATGACATATGATATCAGTCAATTACCTGGATACAAATTCAAACACAATTATTAAATATATTCGTGATAACTAGTAAACAACGACTCTATGTCCATTTTTACCAAAAAAAAGATGCACTCTTTATCCTTGGTGACTGGAATGCAAAAGTAGGAAAAGAAGAGACTCCAGGACATGTTGGAAGATATGGTCTTGGGAAAAGGAATGATGCTGGGATACGGCTAGTGGAATTCTGCATTTCAAATAACCGCTTTATTGCAAATACATATTTCCAATTACATAAACGAAGACTATTTACATAAACATCACCAGATGGAAATTATAAAAATCAGATTGATTATATAATAGGTAGCAAGAGATGGAGGAATGCAATCAAATCAGCATGTACTGTACCAGACTGGGTGCTGACTGTGGGACTGATCATGATCTCCTTATCTCAAAAATATCATTCCATTTGAATGCTAAGAAAAAAGGAAGTGAAATAGTGGGATGTTATGCTAGAGATTTCACCTCATCTTACATCTCAGAAATAAAAGAAGGTCTCAAAACAATTAATACATTAGGAAAGGAACCTGATGAAGTCTGGGAGTCTTTAAAAAACACCATTAAACATACTGCTAATAAATGCATAGGAAAGAAGAAGAAGGAACTTCGCTGTCAAACAAATCTTTAGAAATTGCAAACACTCGGAGACAAATGAATATTATAGGAGATCGTCTAACAATTAAAAAATTAACTGTAGAGTTCCAAAGACAGGCTAGGAAGGATAAAGAAGAATATCTTAATAATAAATGCAAAGAAGTTGAATTAAATAATGCAAAAGGACGTACAAATGATCTATTCAAAAAAATTAAAGAGGTCATTGGAAAATTTACCCCTAGGCTTGGTATTTTAAAGAACACACATGGAAAGGATTTAATGGAAGAAAGTGAAATAAAGAGAAGATGGAAATAATATACAGAACAACTTTATAAAGCAGATAATAATATAGAAGAAATAATTGAAGGAAGACATTTTACTTTGGAACCATCAATTTTGAAGGAAGAAGTGGAATGGGCAATTAACCAAATTTCAATTGGGAAAG